TATTATTGACATGCAAGGCATGTTCTTTGCTGCAGCACAAACAGGCTATCACCTTCCAACCATGCTAAAGCTCAGCATTGCAGGTAGCTTGAATTTTGAGATGGCCAATACTTCTTAGCTGCCCTCTGAAACTTATCCCTCTCTTGGTTATGATTGAAGAGATGCTCCCCATGGACAGGGTCCTGTAGGGCAGAGGACTGGTGTGTCTCATAGGATGGTGGTTTCTTTGCTGCAGCACAAACAGGCTATCACCTTCCAACCATGCTAAAGCTCAGCATTGCAGGTAGCTTGAATTTTGAGATGGCCAATACTTCTTAGCTGCCCTCTGAAACTTATCCCTCTCTTGGTTATGATTGAAGAGATGCTCCCCATGGACAGGGTCCTGTAGGGCAGAGGACTGGTGTGTCTCATAGGATGGTGGTAAGCATATTTTCCTAGGCCCCCGTGCTTATGCAGTCAAAATGGCACCATCCACGGTTGAGGTGTAATCGAGGTTTGGGGAACTCTGAAGTTTGAACAAGTAGAAAAATACAAGGAAAGCGAGGGGAAGGGAAAAACTCCAGGGCAGGGAAGGGACTAACCAAGCCTGCCCAATGGGTGCTAGGCAGGCCTACTGAGCATGCACATGTGCACATGCTCGTACACACAAACATGTCAGAAGGAAGGGAACTTGCATTGAAAATCCTGAAAGACAGCGTAAGCCAGAAACTGCAACAGGAGCATCCTACACTGCAACAATGTGTTGCAATTTCAGCTCACTTCTCTTCCTTACAGTGTCCCTCCCACATGATAGCTTTGCAGTTGGGAGACCATGCAAGGTGAGAAAAGTTGTCAGCTTGAGAGCCCTTCCTTGAAGGCTGGAGATTTTGTCTCCTCTCCAGCGAAAGTGACAGCCCTGGTCTTCCTCCTGCTTTGCAAAGGTAAGAGTGATCTACAGAAACAAGGACGTTTTCCTGTTCTCTCCACATCATCCTACTCTTTAAATGACCCCTGTTTTATAAGATCCCCTGTTCTCATCCCCCACTGGCCATTCCCATCATGATTCTCTTCCATCATGATTTTCTTCATCTTCAATGAAATAGATACGGCATAGGGGGAAAACCTTGTCAATTTCAGCACAGATTATATCTTTTTTTGCCCGATGAGGGCAAGGATAAGAATCTGGTCATGTCTGGAAGAAGTAGGCCAGGCAACAGGAAGGAGGAACAGGGGACTGGGAGTTTGTAACCTTTCAAAGATGAAGAAGCAGAATGTGGAACTTCATCACCTTGGACAGTTCCCACAAGTGGCAAATTCTGCAGTGCAGGGGCCCAAAGATGGGAACCCCTAAGAGATTTGGGAAATGCAGGCAGCTATGTTGATCCATTTTAACAAACCTGTTCTGGCCCATTTATGATCTCCCAAAAGGGCAGGTCTTTCGTTAAACTTATGGACCCTGAATTGCCCATTCAAGACCATGTCAACACACAATCCTTGGTACTTCAACAGAGATTGCTCAAAATAATACACTGTTGCTGGGGGAAATGTAGCACCATCACTGCACCTTCTAAACCACTGTAGGACTTTTCTTAAGCTCTGTGGAAACAGTGTTGAGGAGCATGACCAATGATGTCCCTATTCTAAAGAAACATCATGGCAATATGGCCCGTAAGGTGGTCTTCAGCATGTCAAAGGGTACCAGCTGAGCCCTTTTATGCTTCCTGAACATAAGCTGGAAATCAGGAAAATTACTTTTCCAACCCACAGTTCTTAGGACTTCCTTGGCCAAGTCAGCTAGGGGATTCTGGGATTTATATTCCAAAACATGAAAAGAAACATTAAAATGTAATTCAGCATTTATATTCCCAAGAGTTCTTAGGTGGGGGTATGGTCTAATATTTAAACAAACTTCTGGATCAGACTAAGTTCTTACAGGATTTGCTTGGAGGGCTTACATGGGCAGAAGAAGTGTTCTTTCTTCAGACACATCATTTCATGTGAGGCATAATGAGTCTCTAGCATAGGCATCCTTCAGTCTCTAAAGACTATGGTAACATGCTCTGAATTGAGGAGTGTCCCCTCCAGAACATGAAGCCTGGGTAAAGTAATATGGAGGATAGGCTGTTACCCAAGCAGCAGATCCCCCCTCTCCACGTTGCTGAAATCTCTCTAAACAGCACCAGAATGACTCATTGCGGTGAGTAGCGCTATTGTTGCATCTTCGTCATCTTTAACTCTTCATCAAGTTGGCTTGCAGGACGATGTTCCATTTTTATCAGGACAAGGTTGCCATATTTAAAAAAAACCTTGAACACACACACCCGGCATCACCTCAATAAGTGAAGGTCAGTAGTAATGACGTCGCAACGCACAATGCATTCAGAAACCAAGGTGACAATAGCAATGTGAAGTTGACTGCTGAGGCCAGATCAACACAATGCAAAGTAACAATAACAGGTCACTTTTCTCTCCTTTACTGTTTTTTTTTTTTAGACTTCTGCAAACATTTAAAGATGGGCTTCCGATGAGCTGCATGGACTTCACTGAATCTGCACGCACTCTAAAACCATTGCTTTCACCTTACTGTGAGATTCACTGAGGACCATTGCTGGCCAATTAGGGGTCGGGTCCCAAGCCCATGTGGCAAAAGCCCTGGAATGCCCAAGCTGAGTTTTGCTGGGCATCTTGAGTCTCAAGATAATTGTGGCATCTTCTCCTTGGGGTCTCTAAGTTAACCCTCAATACCTGCAAAGTCTTTTTCTGTTTTGTTTTGTTTTTTTTCCACCAACTGGCAGGGGTGCTGACTCAGAGAATGAACTATACAATCACTGTGCCCAAGACAGTCCACGTGCCACGGGGCTTCTGTGTCCATGTCCCCTGCAAATTCACCACCCCTGAGAGATACAAGGCCAGCGCTGAGCCCATGTACGGCTATTGGTTTCGGATCATGAGAAGGCGCTACTATCTGATATGGACCAACCTTTGGGTGCTAGGCTACCTTATGGCCACCAACGATGGAAGACAGAAGGCTCAAGAGACCCATATGAAGTTGACGGGGGACCCAGCCCTTGGCGACTGTTCCTTCAGCATCATTGATGCAGGGTTGGATGATTGGGGCTGGTACTACTTCCGAATTGATAAAGGAGAGCAATACAGATATGCTTTCCTTTCCACCCGCCATGATGGCCATATCCATCCTCACATTGTCTTGACAGGTCAGTCAATCCCCCTCCCCCGTGTTTTGCTCCTTGTTTGTGTTCCTACTTGAAATGGGGCTGAGCCACATGTAGCTGCTTCTGTGTTCCTCTCGGTCACTGACTTGGCTACCACAGCTTTAGTTATTGCTGTCACCGAGGGACCTCCCCCTCCAAAAGCTGCCATGGCCACCAAAAAAAAGAGAGAGATCTCCTAAGAACCCATTCACATGACCAAAATGGTGGCATGTTTAGCTTTCTCTTCCAGAAGGAAGGAAAGACTCTGCCATGCAGGTTGACAGACTCCTACGGCTTGGGAAGAGGCGTTACTCTGTCCTGCTCCACAAACAGCAGCTACACTTTCAGCCAAATTACGTTAGTAGCAGAGGCAGTAGTTCTGAACTTGGCAACATCAGACTAAGTTTGGGGAACACATCCATGGTGGCTGGATCTTTGGTGGTGGCAAGGCCTCTAATAGGTTCTGGGGAGTCCAGCTTAGAGGCTCAAAATAGGGGAGAGGACCAAAAAAGGAAGACTTTCAATTATACTGGTAAGGTGCCCTTGTGCAGACTTGGGCTTTGTTTTTCAATGAATTCAAAGATTTCCTGGCAAGCAGTAAAGTAAGACAGCACGTGCCTCTGTGATTTGTTGTTGTTGTTGTTGTTGTTGTTGTTGTTGTTGTTGTCGTCGTCGTCGTCGTCGTTATGTGCTGTCAAGTCATCTCTGGTTTATGGTGTCCCTATGAAGGAATGATCTCCAACTGTCCCCAACTGCCCTGCTCAACTCTTGTAAACTCAACACTCTGACTTCATTTAGGGAGTCAGTCCACCTCACATTCAGACTTCCTCTTTTCCTGCTGCCTTCCATCTTTCCCATCATCATTGTCTTGTCCAGAGAATCCTGTCATCTCATGATGTGCCCGAAGCAGAACAGCCTCAATTTCAACATTTTTGCCCCCAGAGATAGTTCAGGCTTAGTTTATTTATTTTTATTTATTAGATTTATATACCCCCATCTAGAACATCTCTACCTGTGGTTTGATCTAGGGCCCACTTTTTTGTCTTTCTGGCAAAGTTATCTGCAAAGTTTTCCTTCAAACAATTCATTTCCCCCCCCCTCAGTTTTCTTCACTGTCCAGCTTTCACACCTATACATGGAAATCAGAAATATAAGAGTGTGGATGATCTTGGTCTTGGTCTCCAATGACACATTCTTACAGTTGTGTGGGAATCCTCTGAAAATGAGGACAGTTGGGAGAGTCATACTTCTCTAAAAGCCTTCTCTGAGCTCCTGGCCTTCTGAAATCAGGGTAGACATTGCTGAAGAGAAGACCTTCTCCTGTGTGGCACCATAGCTTAGACATTTTGTGGGAGTCAAGAACAGCAGAGTGGAAGAGACACTCAAGCTTATCCTTACTTCTCAACTTCTTGACCTACTCCATGCCTTGTGAATGTCCTGCTAATTTCTCCCCTCATGCTCTCCCTCATTCAGATCTGCCAACCCCGACAATCCAGAGGCCCCCTGAGATCATCTGGGGGCAGCCAGCTACATTCATCTGTGAAGTACCAAATGTCTGCTCAGATAACCGTGCGCGACTCCTCTGGCCTGTTGAGTCCAACAGTTTCAGCAAGGATCCGTGGAGCAAAGAACACAGCCAATGGACCTGGACCTATGGGGTGAATGTCACCTTCATACCCTCCCTAGCGGATGAGGGCAAAGTCCTCACTTGCCAGCTTGAGTACCCTGCTAAGGGGAAACTTCTCCAGGATTCCACCCGCCTTGACTTGGGCTGTGAGTAGCTCTGGATGTTCTATATTTCTATCCCTTTCCCCATGAGCATCCCCTCGTTTTACCCTTGGGGTATCCACTTCCCCTCATATATGAGATTTGCAGCACATGGTTATGGTACGCACCTGCCCCCACAAGAGAGCCTGGAAACATTAAGATATTTTGACACCAGTAGTTGTTACTCAGATGTACCACTCACATATGAACATCTGGATAGCTCAGTGGTTTAGGTGTCTTGACTGCAGAGCTAGAGGTTGGGAGTTTGATTCCCCGCTGTGCTTCCTTGGTAGGGGCTGGACTTAGCTCTGCAGTTCTAAGATAGTGATGATGATGATGATGATGATGATGATGATGATGATGATGATGATGATGATGATGATGATGATGATGATGATGATAACGACGACAACACTACTCACTGGAAAATGTATCAGTTATACATTGCTGCTATTCTTTTTCTCTACAAAAATATCTTTTAAGATGGAGAAATGTCCCCCCTCCACCCAAAAAAAAACCCTACAATTAACTTATGTTGATTCACAAGCAAAATTTGCTTGTTGCCTCCCAAAACATAACACTTTACTGTTGAGTCTGTAAATAGCAGGGGTGATAGCGGTATTCTTAGGCTGTCTTTATTTCCCACAAGTAGCACAGTGTGGTAGGCTTGTCCCGTATAAAGCAATTTCTCCACCCCTCTAAATCAGAGGCTCTCATCCAGGGAAGGAGGAGGAACAACAGCATTAAATCTGATCACAGGCTGGATATAAAAATAAGTATTTTCTCTCTGTCATTTCTGGAGACTTCCAGAGCTCTAGGAACACTGAGTTCTGGCATGGAGGAGGGTCGAACCAGGATGGAGTCATTGCGGGCTGGATTCTGACCCGTCATGGACCAGAATTAGGCTGGTCAATCAGATGCTATCCATGTGCTCTAGGAAGACTATTCTCGGTTAGGACTTTGGCCAGCTTGAGACAGACAGTCGTGTTCTGATCTATACAAGACTGCAGCGTCTCAAAAGTGGGGACAGGATAAACCGCTTTCCTTTGGTGTCTTGAGTGGATTTGACAGTAACAGCCCTTTAAATGGTACTGGTAAATTGAATATGATTATTTATTTCACGGTGCTAATGCACCCAATCAAGCTCGTTGGAAAATAGTCCGCATTATTATAACGGTGGCGATCACAATGCAGAGTAAATGGGTGCCTTTGAAATTGTTCAATTTCTTCCATTCTGAAATAATATGCTACTTACCTTACGAGAGAGAAGGGGTGGAGAAATATAATTCACATTATAATAAGACAAAAACCCAGTGGACAATTTCCAAGAATATGCAAAAGGGAAGCCAATTATCCTATAGTTTATGCATTTCTCAAAATTGCAAGCTTTTTCATGGAATGGAGATGGGCACTATATTCGCGAAGGCTTTCACGGCTGCGATCTAATGGTTGTTGTGGGTTTTTTGGGCTCTTTGGCTGTGTTCTGAAGGTTGTTCTTCCTAACGTTTCGCCAATCTCTGTTGCCGGCATCTTCAGAGGACAGCACTCTGTGCTCTGGTGTAGTTGACTTGGGAGTGCAGTATTTATGGCTGTGAGATAGGCTTTTGTCTTTTTCTGTAGATGGGTGATTAGTGTGTCTTGTTGTGGGTGTATTATTGTGCTAAGGAGAAGAGATTATCTGTCACTGTGGTTGATGGGTCTCACTAGCTGGTCTTATGTGTGTAGTGATCTCTTGTCCTTGTGGCTGGGGTAGAGTTCGTTGACCTTTTGCACTATGTATTTTTGAGAGCTGGGAGCCAGGTTTGTTGAGATGGGCACATTTCAAGGTGTTGCAGAGGATTCAGCCGGGTGTTTTTTACACTTGGGGAAAGATCCATACTGCTAAGAAGTAGCAGATGATGCTACATCCATTTCCCCCCACTTTGGGGACCTCTCTTCTCCTGTGGCTCAACCCCGTGCCTCCAAGATTTATCCCAAAACTGAAATTTATCTTCCTTTAAAGAACTATAAGGGATGTGTTGGCGCTGAAGGTTAAACCACAGAACCTCTGGGCTGCAAGGTCATAAGACCAGCAGTTCGAATCCACACAATGGAGTGAGCTCCCGTCGCTTCTCCCAGCTCCCGCCAACCTAGCCGTTCGAAAGCATGTAAAAACGCAAGTAGATAAATAGGTACCACCACAGTGGGAAGGTAACGGCGTTCCATGTCTAGTCACGCTGGGCACGTGACCATGGAAATTGTCTACAGACAAACACTGGCTCTATGGCTTGGAAATGGGAATGAGCACCGCCCCCTAGAGTCAGACACGACTGGCTAAATTGTCAAGGAGAACCTTTACCTTTTTCCGCAGAAGCCTGCCAATTCTGTTACCTTTGAACTGGGATACTTCTGAATTCGCCTTGTTTGTCCTGTTTTTCAATGTTTTCTAGATAAACCGGAGCCCATCAATGCATTTCAAAACACCAAATGTTCACTAAAGGGCCATGTCCTTGTCTGTGTCTGTTCCTTCCATTCCTGGCCCCCACCCCAGATCCTGTGGAACGTGGATGGGAAGAATCTTACAGAAAACAGCACCTCAGAACCCCTGCAGGTCATTTCCTGGACCAAAGGAAATGAAGTCTACAGCACTCTGAACTGGACAGGAGGCCACGTTCAGGACAATAACCACTCCATCACCTGTATAGGAGCCAATAATTTTGGACACCGTATCATCGACATGTTCCCTAAGCTCTCCAAGAAAACAAGTAAATACCCACTCTCAGTGATCTTGAATTTTTGAGCACAGTTTGAAAGCACTTAGGAGGGACGCGGTGGCGCTGTGGGCTAAACCGCAGAAGCCTGTGCTGCAGGGTCAGAAGACCAAGCAGTCGTAAGATCGAATCCATGCGAAGGAGTGAGCACCCATTGCTTGTCCCAGCACCCACCAACCTAGCGGTTCGAAAGCATGCAAATGCGAGTAGATAAATAGGGACCACTTCGGTGGGAAGTTAACAGCGTTCTGTGTCTAAGTCGCACTGGCCATGTGACCACGGAAGATTGTCTTCGGACAAACGCTGGCTCTATGGCTTGGAAACGGGGATGAGCACCGCCCCCTAGAGTTGAACACAACTGGACAAAAATTGTCAAGGGAAACCTTTACCTTTACCTTTACCTGAAAGCACTTAAGCACCTTAACAAAACAGGCCTTTAAAAAAAGACACACACACCTCTGTGTCTGGCTTATGCTTCTAGTGTAAGCAGCAGATTATTTATGTATTTATGTATTTATGTATTTATGTATTTATTTATTTTTGCAAAGTGATAGGTTGAGAATCAGGGATGAGGACTCAAGTCGCAAGACACACTGTCAGATCAGACTTAAGTCACACAGATGGGTTGACTTAGACGTGACTTGGGTTTTTCCCCCCAATGACTTGGACTTGACTTGGGACCAACCCACCCCCTCCATTTTTTTTTCTGGGGGATTATGCTTGTTTTACTAGGGACTTGAACTTGGGACTTGGGACCAAAGACTCAGACTTGGACTTGGAACTTGGTTCCAAAGTCTTGTCAACATCCATTGAATTTCATTTCAGCTTGTTTTAAAAGAATTTAGTAAAAGGCAAGCTCTTTTAGCAATTAGGGATGGGATTTCCAGGAATTTCTAGAAATTAAAACTTCATAGACATTATCTGTTGCATGCTGAGTCATGTGACTCAGTATGCAACAGGCAAGGCCTACGGAGATTTCTTAACTTACAGCAATTCACCTCCATAAATTACATATAATGTGTAACTATGCACCAGGATTTCAGCCATAGTTGCAACCTGAGCAGCAGGAATCACTCTTTTAGACTGCGACTCCTAGGATCCCCTCAGTCATGCTGACCAGGACATTTTGTAAGTTGTAGTTGTTGTAGTTTTTCTAATAGTACCTTTCCCCAGGATTTGGTTAGCTGCAAGGGTAGAGAGATGATCCACATGAACCTCTCATCGACTCTCAAACATGCTCTCAAAACATATGAAGGACACTGAAGCTTTCTTACTGACCACAAACTTTAAATGTGTTTTCAGAGTCTCCTTTCCATTTGTCTCTTGCGATGATTTCTGGGATCATTGTTGGGTCCCTCCTTGCACTGACAGGTACCGGGATCCTCCTCAGATTCTTCATGGGTGAGTAATAACCTTGGGAGCTGGAATTTCTGTTCTTTTTCAACCTGCACTCATGCAAGATCAACATTTTTGTTTTAATTCATTTGTATAAGTATGTACCAAAAATGCCAAATTTCTTCAGAATTCAGAACAGACAGAAGTTGAGTTTCAGTTTCAGTTTGAATGAACTTAGCAGAAACCAAGCAGCATACATCGCACTCCAGATACAGAGGTTTGAATGATCAGGTCTTGCAAATCTGTCCCTGGCTAGTTTCCATGTTTGTAGTTCTCAGTTAGGAATGCCAGTCCTGCCCACCCCCTGTAAGATTCTTAATTCCTAACAGCTATATGGTAGGAAGGTAAAACATGATCCCAATAACTCAGCAATTGAGTTGTGAGTTCAATTGCCCACTGGGTCTCTGTGAAAGGGGCTCGACTAAATGATCCATAAGGTCCCTTCCAGCTCTGCCGTTCTAAGATTCTAATGCTAGTAAGGGCTGTATCTGTTCAATATAGGCAGTACAAATGAGGGAGAAGTTCATTTCAGCTTATTTTTAAAGAATTTACCAACATTATTTAAAGAAAGGAAGTTTGGTATTACTTTGTCATTATAAACTTAAGAATCTTTCTCCTGAAATC